TTTTTAGATAAATAGATACAATGGAGTTTTGATAAAACTGGATGTAAATAGCATAAATTTAAATATTTTTTAATATATTCACCATTTAAGTAACACTTTTTCAGAAAAAATATGTTATACATTTTTAAAATTACAATGCCTCATAACATTAATATAAAAAACTAATGAAATAAAAAAATAATAAATACAAATTTCAAACCTTCTAAAGAATGTATTATTTAAATAATTTTGAATAGTTTTTTTTAAATGATACAAAAATTTAATAAAAAGATATTATATATATAAGATATAATATAAAGATATATTATTATATGAACAAAAATCAACGCACAGAGGTGTATGAAATTCCGCCATTGTTGCTACTACCACCGCATACAGTTAGTAATGTGCGATACAAACCGTCGCAAAAAAACTAATTTTATAAATTCTTATAATATTATGATATAATACAAAAAAAAAAAATACTTTAATATCATACAGAGTGGGTCAGCCGCGGGTGAGAAGATTTTAGGGTGTACTGTAGCCCATACTGGCCCTGGCGTCGCCACTTATTATACTAAAAAATATAAGTGTCTAATCTTTTATGAACAAAGTAGAACAGATCTAAAATGTAACTCATATAAATTATTTTCTACGTAACATTTTATACTTTTTTTTTCATCAATTTTTGCATTATAGGACTATATTTAAAATATGTTTTATGTTATCTATCACAATTACAAAAAATACTAAAAGAAAACCAGCGCGTGTTACGAGTACGCGCGGATGATGTGAACTTCTTTAAGAGTATTGATAGAATATTAGATTTGTATAGAAATAAAATTAAAGAATATCGTTTAAAAATTGCATCTATTGTGGTTCTTTAAAATTTTTTTATGCACAATCAAAATTATTTAGTGCATTTTAAATAAAATTACTTTCATTTTTGAGAATACAGTGCTAAATTATAGTATAGAATATACGTTATTGACTATTGTTTCGTCGCACAGGGTCCTGGGTTCGATCCACAGTGTTTGCCAACGATAATTTTCTTGTGATTTTCTCATTAGTGTTGTCTGGTCTCTGGTGTGAGTCGACGGTCATAATATCCGTTCCCATCCATCGTTTGCCTAGACAAGAACCATCTTTTTGACTGTTGACACTGAGAATGTAAAATTGTTTTTTTATCATAAAATGTAACATAATATAATAAATTATATTTATTAATTTTTATATTTATATAATTTAAGTACACTTATTTATTTTAATTGATAAAATTATAAAAATAAATTCACATCAAGTGAATCATAAATTTATATGTATTAGTAATAAATAATTGTTATTAAAAATTAATATATTAATAAAAATAAATGTTCTAACGTTAATAATCTAGTTGTATGAATTTAAAATACAAAATATATATTTATATTATTATAAATTGCAAACATTCGTGGAACGTAAACATCGAACACTTATGCTTATCAAATGTGTATGTTTATTGAACTTATAAATTCATCGAACAGTACAATCTTGATCGTATACTTAATAAAAAAATAGAATCCGGCCTTGACTAGCGACTGTGACGATAATAATTTTTTTTTTCGGACCCTCTCTAAAGAAGTTATAAAATGGCTATCTTCAAATCTTAAAACAAATATTTTTCAAATTGTTCTTTGTAATTGCGAAAAATAACATAAAACATATTTTAAATTTAGTCCTATAATGTAAAAATTGATAAAAAAATGAAGTATAAAATGTTACGTAGATCATAAGTTATATGAGTTGTTAGTTAGATCTGTTCTACTTTGTAACGTGGAGCGAATTTTATAAATCGATAAACAATACCAGTTCTTAACGATACAATGAACAGTTGTAAAAGTATATATTATCAATTTACAGCTTTTGATTCTTGTATAAATAACTGCTTATTTAATCTCCTTTAAACTTTAAAGACATGTAACTCACTGGAAATAGAAGAAATGAAAAAAATAGGGTGCCGTTTGAAAAACAGAAGTTGTTGATAGTTATTGATATAAAAAATTACGTAAATATTCTATTTTTTCATAGTGTTACGTATTAAAGAATAATTATTTTTACAAGAAAAAAAAATTAGCACTTATATTTTCAAAAATATTCTGTGACGTTTATTTAAAGAATCGCTTTGTATAAATCAATATTTATCAATTATTAATTAATTTTTAGCATTATTCTTTATACAAACTATAATACGTTAAAATTAGCTTATTAAATAAAAAATTATCTTATTACGAAAATAACGGGCGAAAACAACTTTTGTAACTTCGGAAGATATTGACATTTTTATGTTTGGGAGGAAATAGGAGTGTGAAAGGAAAATGTATTATAATAGAAATATTCACACCCAAGTCTCACTTCGAGTCCATATTTTAAAAGTTCCTATAAATTCCGAATAACTGGTCAAATGTTATTATTGACCTATCATTTCTTTAATTTTTATTGCTTTATCAGCCCATTAAGCGCCATAGTGGCCTCTCCCAAAGAAGGAGGTTTCTTAAACATTTATACTCCGGGACGGGTGGTTAGTCCGTCGACGGACTATCATTTTATTAATAGTTAATATATTAATTATGTAATTGTTAGATAATTTCCTATTTAATATGATAATTTAATATATATTTTTTTATGTAATGCAATGATACAAAATAGTAATAAAATCGAAAAAAATGTAAAACTAAAAAATCTTTTTTCAATTTTATATTTATTTTGCAAGTAATAGCGTGGGTTATTATAATAAATAAATTGCTCTGTATATTTAAAATATTTTTATGATTCACTTTTTTTTAATTTAACATATTTAAGTTAAAATAAACGTAATATGTGCAAAAAATTAATTACAATAAATAATTTACTATTATTATTTATTGTAATTAATTTTTTGCACATATTATGTTTATTTTAATTAAGTTAATTAAGTTAAATGGGGCAATATAACACAGCAATATTGCCCCATTATAACAAATTAAGTAGATTTTTCCTATATGATTTCCTAACAACAAACTTTTTTTTTATAGATAGCGTGTTTATGCATTATAATTATTTACTCATCACTTTTCAAAGAAGGCATATTTTCTTAAGATTGGACCCATTTGAAGGTACCACCACTGGGAGTTCATATAGGTTTAATCTGGGCCATGAGTTTATAGAAAATTGAATTCAAAGCAACTTGCATATCAAATAGTTTGTTTAAAGGCTAAAGTTTCATCAAGTAATCACAAATTAACTAAAATTTCACGTTTTTATACACATAAAAACATTAAATTTTTTATGAAAAAATATTAGCTACAATACGATATTTTTTGAAAAAATCTATTTTCTAATAATACTTACAATAGGTTAAAGATATTTATGTTTTTACTAATTAAGACTTATTTGTAAAACTAAAAAGATTTGAAAAATCTAAGGGAAAATTTGAAATCAACCCCGATTGCATTTCTTTGAAGTAATGTTTTTACAACGTTATAAACTTAATAAAAATATCACAAATGTTTTTATAATATCATTTTTAAAAATTTCTTTCTGTAACCTAAAAATGAGGACACTAATTAGCTTAATTTCAATTTAAACTTCAATTTTTTAACATAACTTTATCTTTTTCCATTGATTAAGAAAAATTAATCATTTTATATTAACTCAAATTACTTTATACTTTTTAAGTATCAAAATTTCTATAAATTATAATAAATACATAGATATTTATCTATTTAATATAATTTTTATTTTTAAGTTTTTATATATCATGTAAAAGTAAAATTTTATAAATAGACATAACATTTTCTATTTGTAAATTGACTAACTACTTTTGTAGTTAAATATCAAAAAAAATAAAAACACATAGAAATCATGCCATAGTGGGGTACAGCAGAGTTGTGATAAGTATAGATAATATCTGTTAGTTATTAACATCATTATTATAAAAAAAAATTAAAAGCGAATCTGTTAAATTTCATTATAATTTATAAGTTTATTAATAGATTATTGCTGAATTGTAAAAATTGGTAATTTGACAAATGACGTCTCATAGTAAAACTAGGGTTTTTTTTGAAGTTTTTATATTGTCAAACACTTTAAAAGTGTTAATTTGATATAGGTTAAAAGTTGTCAGGCAATCTGGAACATTTTCCAAAATTGAGTTATAAAAAGATCTTGTCGCTAATAAGTTTAATTACATAAAATCTTGTTCTTTTAACGCAAAATTCGAAAAATTTGATCTTATGAGAGTTAATAATTTTCTTGAACAGACATAAAAAAATACACACATCATCACAAAACCTTCTCATCTTTTCTTCGGTTGGTAAAAGTTAATTTTGTTTTTTTTTTGAAAATATCTGTTTTATTTTACTATATAAAATATTTAACTATAATAGACATTAGAAACCGTTTACTTTATCAAAATCGATATCAAATTTTACTTAATTTATTTATTTTTATAAAAATAAATTATGAGGTGCTATAAAAGAAAAATCCTCTTTTAAAAGCTATTCTAATGTTGATTCTAAAAAATAAATAGGTTTAACGAATTTGTATATTTTTAAATTTCAAATGTACACATATTTTATATTTTTATAAACATTATATTAAAAATACAATTACAAATAAGTTCCCTAATATAATCATACATAATGCTATTTGGTTTAGGTATTAGGTACAGATTCAATTGCAATTTATTATAAAACTTCTTATTTAAGTAAAAAAAATATGATAAATTTGAATCATCTTAACAACCAATTAAAATACATCACCTTTTATTTGATTGAGACCTTCTTTTTTAGAAATAGGGTTAAGGTGAATAGAGTGAAATCGGGTTAATAGTGTCGAATATATAAAGGTCAAACGAGTAGAAAAAGAAAATGGGATGGGGAGCGTTTTTGCTTCTCGTTTGTACCGCTAGACAGCGCGATGGGATTTTATACAGGACGGTCTTTTGTCAAAAATTTCAAACGCCGGACGAGCGCGCGCGCCTCGCGATAACCCAATGGCGACAACGGTATAAGCCGGCAGTCTGTCGCGGACCATTCATCCCTGCAATTCTAGCCGCTCTCGGCCGTCGTGCACGCGTTGAACCGCCCGCAATCGCCGTGGACCGGAGTGGAAATCACGCGGAATTCCCTTATCCTGTTATCCAATAGTTATCCTTCTTCCCTTTAAAAGTGACATGATCCTCAATAAATCCTAATGCGCATGTGCACAAAGTATTTTTTTATTTTGTAAATAAAATAAAGTATTGGCATTGTTATCATTATTTTTAGTAATTAATCAAAAGCCAATGTATTAGCTGATTGTGTATCGAAGTTATTTAATTATCGTAGTTGAACAATCGAAAATTGTTTGTTGGCATTATTTATATATATTATTTGATATAAATAATACTTAATATTACAAGCAAATAATTATATTATTGCTGAGCTTTGTTCGGTGCCAATAAAATATATTTATCATTGCCATATTTTTGACGTATTGGATTAACTGTGAAAAGCACCGTGATCTAATTGTGTACCCATCTATATGAAGACGAGGACGGGGCCCCGACTATCGGTCGTGGACCCTAAACTGGTTTCGCACTGGATGATAGCGACAGCTGCAGTGCAACCAACAACAACGTTGACACATTGCAGGTTAGTTGTGTTTATTAATAGCCTCTTAAATAATTTGTGTAATTTAGAAATATCAATTATAAATTCAAAATTATTTCACGATGATTCCATATATTTTTATTTGTTGCTGAAATAACCCAGTTTATTGAATTGTTTAACGTAGATACTCTTCAATAAAACAATAAAAGTCTTAACTACTTATGCCTTTATTGACTTACGTACCTTAATCACGATAGTATAATAAGATATCGATAACAATAGTCGAATATAAATACAGAAATGATTTTATCACATTCCAATACATTATTAGTATGGTTTATACTAACATAATTCATTATGATGATGTAGAAGAGAAACTTAATCGTTCGTTAATCTTACTATTATAAGAACTTATTAGAATTTACAGCTGGCGAATTAAGTTTCTAATATCTGTACTACGCCTAAAAGATATACCTTTAGAAATCGTTTACCATGGAAAAAATGTGATTTGTCACGCGTGACGCCCTCCGTATTTTGACATGACAGGCAACAAGTTGCAATTTTAAAGGATTACACGCCCGCTTGAATTTGAAAACTATCACAGGCAGCCCTACAGTGCTGCAAATAAATTTAACGATCCGCCGTCTTTACTGCGGTCCGGTAGTAATACTGGCCGCCTGTCAATGGATTAAAAAGGTAATTAAAAAATAAGAAAAAAAATATAGCCGAGAATTTAAGGCGTCTCAATAAGAGGGTAAAACATTGGTAGCGGTATCGTAAACTCGCCGTTCACGTNTGGATTAAAAAGGTAATTAAAAAATAAGAAAAAAAAATATAGCCGAGAATTTAAGGCGTCTCAATAAGAGGGTAAAACATTGGTAGCGGTATCGTAAACTCGCCGTTCACGTCAATTGGTTGTCTGCGTTAAGACGCGCTTTGCTAATTAGGATGACTTTATTTAAAACAAACAACATTTTTAAATAAGAATGTCTATAATGAAAAAAATTCTAAATACGACTCAATGGTTTTTTATTTTTATGATTACTGGAGTTACTTATAAGATGCACGCGGCCCACTGACGCTAGTCGATAGGTCCATAAAACCCTGTAAGATTTTACTGCTTTCTCGTCGAGTTCTCCTGTCTCTTTCTCTGTATATTATTATTATTGTTATTATCATCATCATCATTATTTTAATGTACGGGGCGTGTACTACAAAGGCATTTTTATTTCGGGTCTGTGAACGAAAAGGATTATAGTACCGTAATTTCGTGGCGTTTTAACAGTATAACATCTCGTTCTTAAAGCTATCAGAAAATGCGTTTGCACTGTCGAAAATAAAAACAGATACGCATACACTGAAAACTAGTCGGCTTTGAAAAGTCCTTTGATTGCGATAAAAATAAGCATTCCAAAGCGTCTATTCAGCTCAAATCAAAGTATTTAAATGTTTCCATTATGCGAAAAAACATCAACCCTCCTACATAAAAATCATTTTAAAAACAGTTACTAACGTTTACAAGATTCGCTAAAAAATCAGTACTTTGTTTGAACTTCTTACTAACAATAAACATATTGTTTTAATAATACTATGGTGTTTGAAGCGTTTAATCTAAAAAAAAAAAATTACCAAGATTCACTAAATTCATCGATAGGCGAATTTTATTTTAAACGATTTAACATCACATTAACGTCAAATTTAAACTTAAACATCTTTTCTAAGAAAGTGCTATAAGTTTATACTGAAATTTTTATTTATTAATTACTTGATTTTACTATTATCGTATCCTTGCATACTATTTTTTATCAAACTGAATTTATAATTATATATTGTTATATTTGAATTATTAGTGAATTTTAAGTGTAAGCCATTGCATAAATCATTTTTTTACTTAACATATATTTTGTTTTATTATTTTAGTGCATATATTTTGTTACAAAAATAGGTGACATAATCCTTGCTATGTTTAGTTGCTTTAAGTAAAATGATACCTAAAATACGGTGTGTGCTGAAATGATATTTTGGCGTATACAATTTTAAATTATCAGATGTACGGATAGCATTTATGCATTGGAAAGCATTACAAAACGACAATTTTGACTTAACTATGTAAACCCCTTGCGGGGGCAGTGTGTTCAGTGTTATGACGACGGTGATGACAGAAATAAACTCATAGATATAATTACACAGTCCGTGACGTGCGTTTGTAGTGTCACATAGCTATTTCAGTGGATAACGCCCTCGCTCAGCACGTGGTCCGAAGATGGTTAAACAAAAACACTACTATTTACATCTTTTTTGAAGTTTAACGATAATAGAGCATTGTAGAGTTATAAAATAGTCGCATTGTTTAAAAGGTCATTTTCAAATGTAAAAAGATTATTTCACGCACACATCAAAAACTATGTAATTTCAAAAACTTATCAAATATGCTAAATCTTACACAAAACGAGTAGCTAGTGGTTATTTTAACCATATTTTTTTCTTTTGAGTTTAAAATATACTAGACTTGTGATGAGCGGTATGAAACATGTTTAATACATGTATACATCACATTAAACAACTATTCCATAAGAAAAATCAAGAAATAATTAAAAATTTTAAATAATTTTTCAGTTTAGACATCAGCACAAATTAGGGGGGTTAGTACTTCCAGACAAATTACATATATGATTGTATAAACAAATTTATAGAAGGGGAGATTACATATTATAATGAGCCTTTCTAAAATTTTTATTGAAAATGCGACTACAAGTTTAGACATTTTGGAAGTAAATTTTAAACATTGTCATCGACATTAATTAAAAAATTGATTGTATGAATTTAAAGCCTAAAGAGTTCGCTTCATGAAATTTTTACGTAACTATTTTATTACAAGTGCAATGAATTTATTGTACCTTAAAAAATTGAATTTAAATCAAGAAAAGTTTGTTTGTATTATGAGGTTTTTATTGAAATAAAAGAAGGCTTTATAAGAGAATATTATAGTTATATTGGAGATTGTGGCGTGCTGTTGGAAAGTGCGAAATAGTGAAAATAATTAATCAGAAGAAATCGGTAGTATTGTTAGTATAGCCACGTCGAGGTAAAGTATAGAAGTGTAGTGAACTATATTACATAGATGTGTAAGTCCAGGCGTAATGGAAATGGAATTGAATGGGAATCTTGCCGAAGATAACTCCGGTTGTTACTAGCTACACAAAAGGAAACTGGAAACAAGGCCTTCATCCCGCCTTTATATTGATTGCCATTCAACACCCTCTCTTCCTGTCATCCGACTACCCTGTTCCTGCCCGCTACTATGGTTCAAAACAAAAGCTCACGTGAACCGCAAAAATAATAAATAAGATGCGGCAGCAGCCCGCGTAGCATTTTATGTTTTCTTCTATGTGGTATTATGTATTATTACCTCTTAATCTAGGTAAATTGGAACAAAATAAATAAACTAAAAACAAAGTTTTCTTATTGTTTTCATTCAAAGCATTAATGCTTATTACAAACTTAATTGTAATTTAGTTTTTAACTACTTACATTATTTTTATTCATACATATATGTATAAATATATATATATTAGTGATGGGAAATGTAGAATAGTAACTATCGAATATGTATTCGAATAGTTTATGTTAAAAATAAACTATTCGATTGTATAAAAACAATTCGAATAGTTATTCGATGGTTTAAATATTCGAAAATGCCCATCACTAATATATGACACAGTTATAAGTGAAATGTAATATATATTATATTTATTCGTTATATGATCAAACAAATTTGTATTTAAAATTAAAATTTTACTAATATTTGGCACACTAAAAAGCGGAAATATGAATGTTTTGTTTTTATATTAAATAAATGAAATTTATTTTCAAACAAATCTGTAAGCACAAATATAATATCAATCTTAGTACACACATTGAGAGTAACGGGCATTTCTTAATTTTTATTGTTATTTAATTTTAAATAATGTCTTTGTTCTATTAATTTGCAAGTATCTCATAGTTATTACACATATTTTGTTGTGTCCTAAATATCATTATTTCTAACCCTTCTTTTTAAAAAGCGTTTTATAATACTTGTGATGTGCATAAAGCCGTTAAAAATGTATTGAAAAATGTTCACAATACACGTTCATTAAACGTTAAACAAAACTCTTGATGAAGGTCCCTAAAACATGATTTTGCAATTAAATCGAAGAAAGAAAAATAGGAACGAGTAAGCGTTCGATCCAAAAGAAAAAAAAATTTATGATGCCGTGCCGAGAAGCAATAATTAGAAAGTTTAACGGTTGAGGGTAACAATGAGTGTTTGGCTGTCGTTGTTACAAGGCGACGGGTTCACGGTAGTAATCGAGAATGAATAATCGGTAGACCTAAATCTTGTCGTGATTCGGACACCTAAATGCGTGTGAGTGGCGTGTTTAAACGAGAATTTAGAACAACACTCCTCCTAAGTTTAACGCAGTGCTCCCTTATCATTACTAGGACTTAATATGCTGTATAAACATATTCAAGTAGTTTTTTATCCCATCACGACAGTTTCTTGTGTTTGTAAATTATAATTAATAGTGTTACATACAAAATTGTTTTAACAATTAAAGTTAAAGAAAAAAGTATAATTGCGTTCTAGATCAAATTAAAATGAAGTAGTTAATTGCAAAATGTTAAAAGAAATAACGGAATAATTTACTTTATTATTATTTAATTTAACATTTCGTGTTCTTTTTTATTTTGAAGTCTTTTATGACGTACTCCATTATTATTTTTTAAACATAAACAAGTTTTTGACGCTTTTTAATCATTTTTTTATCTCTATCCTTGTAATTTTAATGAGAACATAACAAACATTTATTTCTATTATTATTCTTCAGAAAAACTTTTAAAATCTCTAAATTACATTTTTATTGAGTATAAAATATAATAATTTTGCTACTTTTGTTTTAAAACGAGTCAACAAAATCATATTTATAGAGGTTTCATTAACCTAACATTACTTTTGACTCATTTAACACAGAAAAAATGGATATTTAATTATATTAAAT